CTCCCTCGCGTGGTCGGACTGCATGGGGAACTTGTAAAGGTTCACCCTTCAGTCGCGGGAAAAGGAACTTGCAAAGGTTCACTTCCCCGCGTGCGATCGAACTGGAGATGGAACTTGGAAAAGGTTCACTCTCCAGGCGGGGGTCACTCTCCCTCTTGTGGTCGGACTGAAGGGGGAACTTGAAAGGTTCACCCTTTGTGAATTGTATTCCATACAATGCAGTTGCGAGTGTATTTCAAAGGCGTTCTGACATAATATGTTAGATACTACCCTCCCCAGCTGTGAATGGAACCCGTGTAATACCCTCATATATACTCCTTATCCTTACCTCTCCTGCGCCTGGCCGTTTGGGCTCAGGTATTGAGATATATCGATCAGACCTTGATCGTGCGGGAGGGAAAGATATCCATCTATCCCTCCTCCTCTCTACCAACGGATCAGGGGTTCTGTACCCTTGTACTTCAACCCCATACACAGGTTATCAGCCCTTTAACGCTCACCCTCACCGACTCGCCCGCGGTGACCTCGCATGCGAGCCTGATGGAGCCACTTCGGCGCATGCGCCGCAAGGGTTCCATCGGGGCCTCGCGTCCGAGCTCTCCCACGGCACGACGGCTCGGTGACGAGTTGGAGAGCATTAGTGCGGACTGTGTTGGTGTTCCCGATACCCCCCCCAGCTCCGAAGGACCCGAGGCGCGACTAGCTGCTGAACTTCACCGCAGCGCCGCCCGCGGGGGGACAGGAGAAGGAGTAGGAACAGGAAGGAAGGAGTTTCACACGCCGACCTTCGATCCTCCCTCCCCTTCCCCGTCGGGAGCAATCCCAACCGCGTCAGGCGAAAGCCTTACTGGTCTCGATACTCCAGGGCGCTTTCGCGCTAACCGCCGATGGACCTCAGGCGCTGGGACCCCCAGCCCTGCGACCGTCCCTGTGGCGGAGCACGTAGCCACCTTCGAGGAACTCAGTAGACCAGTGTCGGCACAGCCACAGACGCGGTACCCCAAGGTATCATCGGATGAGACACCACACACACATGGTCCGAGTCGCAGCTCGTCCGCGCGCAACCGCCGTGGAGCCCCAGGCCCATGCGGCGAAAGTAGGTCGAGCCCGCGCGCTGCCTCTCAGAGGCCATGCACTCCCCGCGACAGGGGACACAGGGAAGCTGACGCTCCCCACCTTTCCATCTCAGACGACCAGCTGGCGGAGACGTCCGCCGCAGGTGACATAGCTGAGCTCAGAGACCAGGTTGAAACCTTCGTGTCCAGGCAATACTCTGGACTACTACAGAGCGTTCAGACGAACGCCACCGATACTGCAGCCATACGACGCGATCTTGACGGCGCCTTAGGGATCATTGATTCCAGGATCGCCGAAGATCGACGCATCATAGGAGAACTGCAGTACCAGGTTGATCGTGAGGTGTCACACTCAGGTGAACGAACGGCGATGGTCGAGAACCTGCGCAACTACCTCGCGCAGATGGAGCAACAGCTTGTGCTCGTACGCGACACAGGCGTTTCAGCAGTCAGGATTTTACATGATGAGATCCACGACCAGCTCCGCAACCGACCAACCCCAGCCGAGGCCACAGACCTTGGCGACGTTCAGTCTCAGATCAATGATCTTCGATCTTATCTAGACCACGCTACGGCGACGCTTTGCACCGAAGCACACACCAACTCGTCGAACCTGATCGACATGTTGCAGCGTACTGATAAAGTCATCACTCAAAGGCTTGATGCGACCAGCGCTGTCGTGCAGCCACTCGCTAACCGGATCTCTGACATCGAGCAGCGTTTCCCTGGTGTTCAGGACGCCCTGGCAGAGTTGCGTGTCGGACGAGCCCAGACTGGCCAGCTGGATTCTCCTCCCACGGTTTACGATTTCGCCCGCCTCACTGACAGGTTGCAGGAGGTTCAGAAGGCGGCGGACCACGCGCAGTTGGAGCTCTCCCAGGTTATTCATGATAGAGATACCGAGAAGGTACGTGTAGAGAGTCACCTCGCACGTCTGGAAAGCGAGATGGAGGCGCGAAGCGCCCGTCTCCGAGCACGCGAGCAACGACTTGATCGGTATTCACAACGTTCTCAGGATACTGATGAGTATACACGCCAAAAGGTGGGTCAAATACACGAAGACATGACGAGCTGGACGATTCAGCTGATCGACCACACCAACGACACAAACCTCCACCTTCGACCTGCAGCCGACCTGCACAGGCCGACGGCAGCATCCGCCGAAGCACAGCAAGCTTCTGCAGGACAACAACGACGTACATCACCAGGAGCAGCCTCCGCGGCAGCTTCTGCGCAGACACGTCATGTGTCTCCTGTGCGCACAGAACCAACTACCGACGGTGCACCGATACCCTCACAACCATTGTCTGCGGTGTCGGTCCATACAACGACTCCTATCAAGGAGTCAGACACCGTCCGAGTCCCCGTCTTGCCTAAGATCACGCAGCTGCTGGAGTGGCAGCAAAAAGTGCGGAAGAACTTCGGGGCCGCCTCAGGGCGACCATCCAAAGCATATGCCTTCCTATGCGTGGCTGAACAGCCCGAATGTACATTCGAGGACTTACAAGACAGTGGAGACTTTGAGAGTATCGATTGCAAACTCGCTACCGCTCTGAGCGACATCTTATCCTCAGACTTACGCTACCAAATCAGGCTCATCGAGGCCAGAGAGCACAAAGCAGGACGCATGCTCAAAGGACGCCAGATCTACTGGCACATCCTACAGTCATACAAAGTGACAGAGGTTGACGACGACCTGCACGATTTCGAGCGCCTTAAAGAACTGAGGATGAGAGATGACGATTTGCAACGTTTCATTACCGATTGGGACGCCTT